TGAATGAAGGCATCCTTACAAGGGATAAAATGTTGGTCCCCCCTCCCGCTGTCCCACCGTATCTTTTTGTAGTGTAATACACTGGAAACTGAATGTAGATTAGGCCCGTGTATGAGTCCATCTCTGATGTTTATTCTCCTCCAGCTTAACCTATCATCAATCTATTGAGATTTAAAAAATATGTATGTATAAATATAGGTCTTATTCAGGGCCAGTTTCATGGACAAGCTCAGAAGGGTACCATGCTTAGTTGAATGCTCTGCTATTGCCATCTTGAAAGTCTTAATTTTTGAAAAAGGGACTTGCAATTTCATTTTGCATTGAGCTTGCAAATTACGTAGCTGGCCCTGAGACCATATTTGCTCTCACTGTGATGATGGTGTCTTGAGTTATGTGGTAAACCTTTGTGGATCAGAAGGCAGGGAAGTTGAGACCAGGCATTGCATGTGGCTAAGTCCCTGCCTGGCGGTAGACTCTTTAGCAATCGGCTTAACTCCTCTGTGCCCAGAGTTATAATCCCATCAAAGCGCTCCAGTGACCTCTGACACCTACTGAATCATAGTAGTTTTAATAAAGGGTAAGGAAGCCCATTCTGAGATAGGCCAGAACTTACATTTCTACCACTGTTAGCACCAATGAAAGGCACCTCTTATTTTCCCATACAATCCCTGTAGAATAAATATCAAGTTTATTATTTATATGACTTTCATCTGACTTTTCCTTTCTGAAAGATCCCGAAAAAGAGGAGAAAATTTCTTCTTCTAAATGTATTAGGTTTTCTTATTCCTGGTTGTTTAAACACTTGTCAGCAAAGCTACACTCACCTTCTGTAATGGATTGAATTGTGCCCCCACAAAATACATGTCAACTTTGTTAGGCCATGATTCCCAGTATTGTGTGGTTGTCCTCCATTTTGTGATTTTCCTATGTGTTATAAATCATAATCTCTGTCTGTAGTTAAAGAGGATGAGGGTGGGATGTAAACCCCTTGCTCAGGTCACATCCCTGATTCAATGTAAAGGGAGTTTCCCTGGGGTGTGGCATGCACCACCTTTTAACTAACAAGAGATAAAAGGAAAGGGAAAGGAGCAGAGAGTCGGGGAATCTCATACCACCAAGAAAGAAACACCGGGAGCAGAGAACCCGGGGTTCCTGTGCGGAGAAGCTTCTAGTCCAGGGGAAGATTGATGAGAAGGACCTTCCTCCAAGCCAATAGAGAGAGAAAGCCTTATCCTGGAGCTGACACCCTGAATTTGGACTTGTAGCCTACTAGACTGTGAGAAAATAAATTTCTCTTTGTTAAAGCCATCCATTTATGGTATTTCTGTTAGAGCAGCACTAGATGACTAAGACACCTTCCTTACAATCTCTGAAGAACATGTCATGATAAGATTTCTTTTTTGTCACATTCTGCAAACTTAAAAAAGGAAGCAAATTTAGCTTCCAGACTTTCGGTTTTTGTTTAGCCTTTCTTTCTCTACCTCTGTCTTTCTCTTTCTTGTGTTTGTTCATTCTTTCTTTCTTTTTTCATCTCTTCCTCTTCTTCTCCCTTTCCCCCAGCTCCCACTTTGCTGCTTTTTGTTCGTTATTCCCATTTTCAGTGAGAACCTCTACCCACGTGCCTGCCATGAGCTTCTGGAAATTAATAGACCTTTTCCCCTGGAGTGCAAAATTTTAGTCTTTCCAATATAGAGTCTCACACAGGACACATATTTTCTCTGGGGACCCATCTTTGCTAGGATGAAGCAACAAAGGAAAGCCCAGAAAGAATTATAACTAAGAATAGCTTTAAAAGCAGAAGTGCGGGTTTTCACATATTTCTTTTTCTTTTTTTTATTTTATTGTTGCAGTTAAAGTGAAAGTTTACAGTTCAAGTTAGTCTGTCATACAAAAATTTATACATACATTGTTATGTAACCCTGGTTGCTCTCCCTATACTGTGACAGCACGCTCCTCCTTTCCACCCCTGATTTCCTGCATCCATTCAACCAGCTCCTAACCTCTTCCGTCTCCTCATCTCACCTCTGGACAGAAGCTGCCTATTCAGTCTCATGTATCTACTTCAGCTAAGAAGCACACTCTTCATGAGTATCATTTAATGTCGCCTAGTCCAGTCTAATCTTTATCTGAAGAGCTGGCCTCAGGAATGGTTTTAGTTTTGGGCTAACAGAGAGTCCGGGGGCCATGTCTTCCAGGGTCCCTCCAGTCTCAGTCAAACCATTAAGTCTGGTCTTTTTACTAGAATTTGAGTTCTGTACCCCACCTTTCTCCTGCTCCATCAGGGACTCTCTGTTGTGTTACCTGTCAGGGTTGTCATTGGTGGTAGCCAGGCACCATCTGGTTCTTCTGGTCTCAGGATGATGCAGTCTCTGGTTTATGTGGCCTTTTCTGTCTCTTGGGCTAACACTTTCCTTGTGTCTTTGGTGTTCTTCATTCTCCTTTACTCCCAGTGGGTTGGGACCAATTGATGCATCTTAGGTGGCCCCTGGCTAGCTTTTAAGACCCCAGATGCCACTCACCAAAGTAGGATGCAGAACTTTTTCTTAATAAACTTTGTTATGCCAATTGACCTAGATGTCCCCTGAAACCATGGTCCTCAGACCCCTGCCCCTGCTACTCTGTTCCTTGAGGTGTTTGGTTGTATTCAGGAAACTTCTCAGCTTTGGTTTAGTCCAGTTGTGCTGACTTCCCCTGTAGCGCGTTCTGTCCTTCCCTTCACCTAAGATAATTCTTGTCTACTATCTAGTTGGGTTTTCACATTTTTCTATCAGGAGGATGTATGGTCCTTGACACTGATAACAGTCCTTCCTTTTCTCCTTCCCAGGCAGCTGGGGAGCAGGGGGATTCAGGCGGTGATAATGGGACAGCTACTTGGGGAAGCTCCCAGAGAAACCAATTCTGTGCCTCAGCTGAGTTATGTATAAAATGTGTTAACGTAATAAGTCATATGTATAGAATACTTACTCCAGGCACTTCACTTAATGCTTTACATGTACTATTCATTCATTCATTCATTCAACAAGTATTTATTGAGCACCTACTCTGTGCCAGGCACTATTCTGGGCACTAGGAATATAACAATGAACAAAGTCTCTATACTGTAGGATCATACATTTTTCAAATCCTCCCAACGACCCTTTGGGATTGGCATCATTGTTACCCCTGTTTTACAGACAAAGAAACTGGAGCTAAAAATCACTGGGCTGGGCGGTGCCTCCCGAAAGGACCACATAGGGGCTGACTATAGTGGTATTTGAAGCCAAAGAAGGCTGGCATGGTCTTAAGTGAGGAGACCACAGAGGGGATTTGAGGAAGTATAGATAAAGGAATCTAGAACTATTTTCATCGCTTTGTGGCTTGAAAATGGAGCAAAATTTGACTTGGAATCTTTTCCCTTAGTTCAGGGTTGTTGTTGTTAGTTCCCATTGAGTCGTTTCTGACTCGTGATGACCCCAAGCATGCAGGGTGAAACTGCTCCATACGGTTGTCAAGGCTGTGACCTTTCAGAAGCAGATCTCCAGGTCTGTCTTCCGATGCAACCGTAGGTGGATTTGAACCTCCAACCTTTCAGTTAGCAGCTTAGCGCATTAACCATTTGCACCACTCAGGGATTCCTAATTCAGGGTAGGGACTGTCATTTTGTAGAATCATCTAGTCAATTTGAGGGGGCCCCCGTGTACATATTTGGGAAACTCATGTGCAGAATGGACACTTACCCTTCCCACCCTTTGGTGTTTGCAGGGAGTCTTGCCAGAATAAGAGGAAAGCACTGAAGTTGGCAGAGAACAGGTCTAGAAACTGTATTCCACAAAAGGGTGAAAGTCCTGACCTTCCCTCTTCGCCCCTCCCAAACTTGGAATAACCAAGAGTTGACTAACGGCCCTCCAGGTAAAAGGGACTCTAGCACAGTGCCTGGTACAGAATAAGAACCCAGTGAATAGTTGGGGAATGAATGAATGAATCACTTCCACTCACACTACATAACAAGCAGTCAGGGCAATTACCCCAGACTCAGCATGTCCCAAAGGCCGACAGAGTTCTGTTTTGTTTTTTCCACGCACTCAGCTCACACTGCAAAAATCAGGGCAGGTAAACATATCCCTAAGCACCTTCTCTAAAATGCAAAGACTTGTAGAAAAAATGTGAAGCTGGAAGGAGGTCACAGCGGATTGTGTGTCTGTCATTCTGTCACTGACTCCCTAGGAAGTCAAAACCATTACATGTGCTGGGGGTGCCCCCAAGGAGATGAAAATCATCAGAATCCTCCATCAAAAGGGCCTCACTCGACTGAAATAGTTTAGGTTAACTAATAAACAATGTTTGCCTCAAGCATTATGCTCTTATAAGAGCTAGCTATATGGGATCAAACTGACAACAGCAACTCAAAAGATTAAACAGGAAGCTTAGGGGGCAGTGACTTTATGTTAATGCAGGAGGAACAACTCAGAAAAGGAGGGTGAGAATGGTTGTACAACTTGAGGAATGTAATCAATGGCACTGAACTGTTGAATCTGTGTATGTTTTGCTGTGTATATTCTCAACAACAACAACCAAAAAAGAAGTATTAACTTAGTCTGGTTTGTATTTTCCAAGACAAGTAACATCTAAGGTCTAAGGCTGGGAAATACTGATAAGTCATTAAGCTCGTTACTTCCCCAGGAGAGAGAACATGACCTGTTCCAACACTCGTACCTGTTTACTCAGCTGTTTAAAATTGCACAGGAGTCAAGCAATTCCTGACCCCTGCAACACACACAACCTCCATTACATACACGTACTTCCCCTGACATTGTAATCAGAACATATAAATACAATCCACTCACTCCATTCGGCTGGACCTTCCAAAAAGGTTTAACAATGTGAATTTTGTTTTCCAGAGTGAGGAGTACACAGCTAAGAAAGGGTGGCGTTTTCCATGTCCCCTCCACCCTTTAGCTGGAATTCTTTTTATGTTGCCAATCTGTCTCCTTGATTTGCTTGCTTGTTTGTTTTAATGCCGTTCAACACGCTTGGAGATCCTGCTGGACATTGGGCTGGCTTTGGAAGCTCGTTGCCACGTTGCTGCAGCTCTTATGACAAAGGTTTGAAATGGATATCTCTTCTGGCCTCAGGGTGGTCTTGGAGTGCCCCGGATGCCTGGTTCTCAAACTGCCGATTTTGAGCTTGGTGTAGAACTTGGGGAACGAGGGGCTTGAAAAATAGTACACCAGGGGGTCCAGCATGCTGTTCATGTAGGTGAAGCTGAGGGTAACGTGGAGGGCTACATGGACAGACGGGTCACAGGCGCTAGAGGGCACGGTCCACAGGAAGTACAGCCTGGCCGACACGCTGGGCAGATAGCAGGTGATGAACACAAGAGCCACCACCACGATGAACCGCGTGGTCTTCCTCATCCGTCTGGCCAGCCGCTGCCGCTGCTTCAGGCTCCAAACAATCTTGAAGGAGCAGAAGAGGATGATGCCGAGGGGCAGAAAGAACTCCAGCTGGAACATGATGTCGTGCCAGCCGTTGGCCGACTCCATAATGAAGCTTTCACAAGAGATGACCTTCTCTTGCATACATAGGTGGTTCTCCGTCAGAAGGTACAGAGTCCCCAGGATGACCATGACCCAAAGGGCACAGACGAGGCCCACCGCCACCCGGTTGGAGACGGTGTTCACCATATGGTGGGGGTGGACCACTTTGAAATACCTGTCCACGGCCACTACGGTGAGGAAGACGATGCTCCCAGCCCTGTTCATGGCCAACATGAAGAGCACCACCCGGCAGGGGATGTCCTCAAAGGCCCAGCGTCTGTGTCGGAGGTAGTAGTCTGTTCGAAAGGGCAGGCAGATCATGAGGAGAAAGTCAGCTACGGCCAAGTTGAACAGGTAAATGGTGCTGGGCTTCCAGGTCTTCATGTGAAAGCAGAAGCCACACAGGGCAATGCCGTTACCCAGGGCACCCAGTACGAAGGCCAGGATGAGCAGCGGGGGCATCACCTGGGAGATGGGGTCCCCCTCAATGAGGCAGCATGACCTGTTGTCCATGGTGGATTGAGAGCCAGCACACCGTGTCCAGGGCAGTTCCCAGAGCCCCCACAAAGGCGCAGTTGCTTTTCTGAACACTACCACTCACCCAGCCGCTGTGTCTCCAGCTCCATCGCCCCGGGATGCAGGCACGGTGCTCAGGGTAGACCTGCTCCTGCACGGAGGACAGAAACCTCAGCCAGGGAATGACAGAGTCACTGAAGTCCTTTCTCTGGAACCTGGATCACTGACTGGCTGACTGGGCAAGAGGCAAAGCACATAGCGTGGCCAGGACCCAAAATGCATGCAGTTTCGCCCAAGAGGTCACTTCTGGGAAGCGGGTGTGTGTGTGCATGTGTGTGTGTGAATTTCATGCTGCAAGGAGTTGTTGGGTCCAACCACGGAATACTTTTCCTTCCCAGTTTCACGCTTTCTCCGCAGGCTCGCTCTGGGCTGGAGAGTTTTGCAAAGCTGCCCAGAAGGCACAGAAAGAGCTTGTTTATCATCCCTCCTAGTGGAGAAATACAAACATTTCCTGGAGTCGTTCTGGACCCCTGCCTTCACCGCCAGTTCCTTCCCCTAACCTTTGCCTGACTGCGCGGTCCTGTCCCCAGCCCCATGAGGCCCTCCCAGGCAGTGCCAGAGACTGACGGGACACAGTCTTCAAGCCATTTCCTGTGCCCACACCTAAAAATAAAGCTCCCCAAAAGCACTCGGAAGGGGCTGGCGAGAAAGAATGTTCTAAAAACGGCCCTTGTTGGGTGTAGAGAAAGGCTTTGAAGTGAGTTACCTTCCCTGCCTTCACCCCCTCCTCCCTACCTTCATCCCCTCCTCCCTGCCTTCGTCCCCTCCTCCCTGCCTTCACCCCCTCCTCCCTGCCTTGATCCCCTCCTCCCTGCCTTCGTCCCCTCCTCCCTGCCTTCATCCCCTCCTCCCTGCCTTGGTCCCCTCCTCCCTGCCTTCATCCCCTCCTCCCTGCCTTCGTCCCCTCCTCCCTGCCTTCACCCCCTCCTCCCTACCTTCATCCCCTCCTCCCTGCCTTGATCCCCTCCTCCCTGCCTTCGTCCCTTCCTCCCTGCCTTCGTCCCCTCCTCCCTGCCTTCGTTCCCTCCTCCCTGCCTTCGTCCCCTTCTCCCTGTCCTTCATCCCCTCCTCCCTGCCCTTCACATCCTCCCGGGGATCCCGTGGACCTCAAGTGACCAGTTGCACAAGCATCGAGAGCATGAAATAACTCTGAAGCTCACGTCTCAGGTGTCTGTCTCCACGGAATGGCCTCTGCTAGGATGCAGAGCCTGGTATGTTTGCAGACGTGAGCTTGGCTCTGAATTCCCCACTTGCTCCTCCGAAGAGCCCAACACCATGACATATACTTTACATTTTTAATTCTGTGCTGACCCTATATGTGTGAGGGGGGTGGGTGGGGAGGGATGAGGATTGGGACACTTGGTCCAGGAGTCTGTCTCTGAAACAATTAGGGATAACATTCGGCTGAGGATCCCTAGAGGCGCAATGATTAAGAACTCGGCTGTTAACTGAAAGTTCAGAGGTTCACACCCATCAGCAGCTCCATGGGAGAAAGACCTGGCAATCTACTTTTGTAAAAATTACAGCCTAGGAAACCCTATGAGGCAGTTCTACTCTGTCACATGGGGTCACTATGAGTTGGCATTGACTGAATGGTACACAACAAAATTAGGCTGGAGTCTTTGCTGTAATGTCCTGTCCTTTGACTTTAGGGATTATCTGCCTGCCCTGTGTCTCCCAGTTCCCACTTCAGGAAAGGGGCTGGGGTGCACTGAAAGAATGCCTGTCCCTAGCCTAAACCAGCAAAACCCAACCCCATTGCTGTCAAGTTGATTCCGACTCGTAGTGACCCTATAGGACAGAGTAGAACCGCTCCTTAGGGTTTCCAAGGAGCGGCTGGTGGATTCAAACCGCTGACCTTTTGGTTAGCAGCCGAGCTCTTAACCACTGCGCCACCAGGGCTCCTTTCTAAACACAGTGCAGGCCAAATCAAACTTGTTTTCCAATCACGTATAGCCCGTAGGGAGCTGGGGAAGGTTTTTAAAGTGAAAGAGGAATACGATCATATCTGTTCTTTAGAAAAACTGCAGTGTCTTGTGGGAGCTGAGTTACCGGGAAATGGCAAGAGGAAGAGAAACCAGTTAGGAAACTGTTCCGACGATACAGGTGGGAGGTGACGGCGGCAGTGCCAAGGCAGAGGCTCTGGGGAATGTTGTCGGACTGATTTGGAGTCCAGCATTCAGTGGGAAGAAAAATGTTTCCGTTTTGAAAAAGGGTTCGAGCTTCTGAATTTAGCCTTAATCGGCTGCCAGGCTAGGAACCGGGGCTATGGTGACGCAGTGGTTAAGAGCCTGGCAAAGGGTTTGGGTTTGGTGTTTGAAAAACCTAGCACTGTGCTCTAAAAACCTGGATTTTTTTCTTCTCTTGGAAAACTGGGAGATCTGGCCACACTGGGCCAACATTCTCACATGGAGGCTGAGAGCAGCTGCCGCCTTCAGACAGGGCATGAGCTCTGCGGTTTGCTGCAGACTCCACCACTCCTTAATATCTTACACCTGGTCTGCTTCACTCATTTACATGCCTGATCTCTGTGGGTTTTTGAGCGTGTCACCTCTGCTCTAGGTTAAAAGTCGTATTCCTTGGATTGGTATACACGGGCCCCTCACAGGTTGTTCCCAACCTGCATTTCCAGTATCATTCTCCTGCCACTTTGCTCCTTACGCCCTAATTGTTAGTCTGATTACGTCTAATAAATGTGTTCATCAAACCCTCACATCTAGCTCCCTGACTGATCCAGGTGGTTCTTGCAGACGAGGTCATGTCTTTGCAGGAGGGACATAGAAGAAGGATCTGGGTGATTAACGCCTGCATTTCATGAGAGCTTGTAGGAGCCACCTTCATTCCCTGGGCCTTTGTGATGGTATGAGAAGGTATTAACTAACAGGGGGATCCACTGTAGGCTGTGAACGCCCCAAGACAAGGCTGGGTGAGTAACCCTGAGTACCTTCATACAGTTAGATTTTCCCACAAGTGGCAAATATTCTTCACTCTGTGTTATCAGGCACTGTCTGGATTCATGTAAGAACAAGCGCTTCCCTTTGCCCGCATGACTAACACCTGCCTTTCTACTCCACCTCTTGTCTTGTCGTTTGTCTTTTCAACTGTAGAATTAGCCCAAAGTCAGAGGCTTAAGGAAGAAGAGATAGGTTTCTCTTTCTCTGAATGTCTACTGGTTTCTCATGCAGAATCTGATCTTATTCTACCCCAGGGGCTTACAGAAGATGGTGTCCCTCTTGTTGAATTACATGCCCCATCTCATGCCTCATACCCTATTCCTTTGTGCCTCAAATTAAAATCCACCCAGAACATTCTGTCATTGTTGTTTTGTTGTTAGCTGCCATTGGCTTCCCCCAAATGATGGCAACCCCTTATACAATGGAACAAAACACCATCCCCATGACGGGTTGTGGATCAGACTGCTGTGATCCCTAGGATTTCCACTGGCTGATTTTTGGAAGTTTTAGTCACCAGGCCTTTCTTCCTAGTCTCTCTCAGTTTGGAAGCTCCACTGAAACCTGCTACAGCCGCTGAAATGAATGATGCAAGGCTGTATGTATTGGCATGGAAGTGTTCTGTGACATAGTGTTGGGTAATCAAGCAATTTGCAAAGCAGTTTATGTTGTACAATCCCATTTCTGTAAAGTCATACACATAATGTACATACGTTTATATAAATAGAATGAGATCTGGAAGCACGCTGGCCCAAACGTTGATGACAACTGTCTCTGGGGTGGTCGGATGTTGAGGGAGTTTTAATTTTGTTTTTGTATCTTTCTATACTATTTGAATTTTTGGTAAAAAAAAGCATGTGGTGTTCTTGTGAACTGAAAAGATAAAAATAGATAAATACAAATGGGAAAAAAAATCGACTTGGACTGTGTCTTCTCTCAACATTTCCATCTTGTGGTGAATCTGTGTCCTCTCATTCTTTCTTGTGACTCTGTTGCCTCAAAATATTTTAGCTCCTCTGTACTGGGTTGAATAATGTCCCCCCAAAATTTATGCCCACCCAGAACCTGTGAATGTGGCCTTATTTGGAAATAGAGTCTTTGCAGATGTGGTCAGGTTCAGATGAGATCATAGTAGATTAGACAAAAAACCAAAAACATCAAACCTGCTGCCGTCAAGTTGATTCTGACTCATGGTGACCCCATGTGTTACAGAGTAGAACTAAGCTTCATAGGGTTTCCTTGGTTGTAATCTTTACAGAAACATGTCACCAGGCCTTTCTTCTGCAGTGCCACTAGGAGATTTGGAAGTGCCAACCTCTAAGTTAGTAATAGAGTATAAACTGTTTGCGCCACTCAGGGTCCTTACTAGATTACGGTGGACCCTAAATCTAATATGACTAATGTCCTTATAAGAAAAGGAAAATTTGGACACAGAAACACAGACACATGGTGGAGAGAAGGCCACGTGAAGACAGAGGCAGAGACTGGACTGATGCATCTACAAGCCAAGGACCGCCAAGGGTTGCTGACAACCACCAGAAGCTGGGAGAGGCAAGGAAAGATTCTTCCCTAGGGCCTTCACGGGGAATATGACACCTTGATTTCATTCATCTGGCCTCCAGAACTGGGAGAGAGTAAATTTCTGTTGTTTCAAGCCACTCAGTATGTGGTAACTTGTTATAGCAGCTCTAGGGAACTAATACATACTCCTAGTTACTAAAGGCCTTTGACTATCCTCCACCTACCTCCTCTGGGGAAAGCAAATCCTTCCAGAATAGAGATGGATCAAAAGATGATTTGGCGTCAATCTTCTACCCAAACAGCCTAGCAGATCCTTAGTAGAATGTCTTAGTTACCCAGTGCTCCCATAACAAAAAAATACCCCAAGTGAGTGGCTTTAAAGAACAGAAATTTATTTTCTTACAGTTCTGCTAAAGGTCCAAATTGGGGTCTCGGCTGTGTCACTTCCTCTGTGGGGCTTTCCCC